AATCTACTCCCTCTCCTTATTCTCTCTGCCATTGTGTACAGAAGAAGGTAGGGGGAAGGCTCAGTTTCTAAAGTTTCCATAATCAGACAACCTTAATTTCATTTTAGAGGAAGGCAAAAATTTTTTTGACCTTTCTAATAAGATTCCCCCAAGGTCTTCTTTATGTCTATGTTATAAGAACTCTTCCAATTTGCCTCTAAAATATTAATTACTTATGTATACGTCTAACTGGTCAGGTTTCATTGTATTCCACCCATACAGGACAAAAGGTACCTTTAAATATCTGCAAAGCCATCCATAGAGAAGCCTAGTCCTTAAATTAAAAGCACATCCTACCACAATATATTCAAAATTATTTCATGCTTTCCAAGTTACCTTCTAAGTTTTTAAAATGGAAATTCTGTCTCAATGGCTCAATTATTAACAATCTGTTTCTACATATGATTGTTCTTCAGTAGCACTCCTCTAATTACCGAATAAAAACAAATCCTAAGGGAGATCTCTGCTACTACTGCACCCTCAATCACTTGTATTTACATCCTCCTAAGCCTACCTCATCTTGCCCATATACCCCTTGGTTCATAATTCAACTGCATGGCAACAGGATTTAACTTTCCTCATTAACTCCAGCATCTTCATTCATTGAACAAATATTATCACTATGGGTTTTCTTGGTCTAGTGATTAAGCTAAATTTACATCCATTTTCATCATCACAAAGAAGAGACAAAACCTTAAATTTCAAATCAATACCATAACCCTCACCACTTAATGGTAAAGGAACAGCCTTGTAGTAAAGAAATGGCTCTAGTGCTTCTTATCACCCATTGAATGCTTCCTTTTTCATTTTGCATTAAAGTTTGAATTTGTGAAGAGACTCTTTTTGAGGTCAAAAAATTGAGAAACTTTGTACAACACAAACAGGCAAACAGAACTAAAAAAACAATGAGGATAGAGCCAAAACTGATAATTACATTAAGAAGTTGTACAGTAAAGCACTTATAGAAAAAATAAAAAAAGTATAAGGTTAAGAGAAAGAGAAGTATGGTCATAGTCTTTTTCCTCCTGGTTTTTTACTTTACCCCCTATTCTTTGGAAACAAATTAAGAGAGATTAAACGCAGTGTCTGTGAATAGTGAGGTGATACACACCTTACGCTGCACACAAAGCACTGATGTCTGAGAGAAGAAAGTTCCTATCCTCAGGCAGAGAAGAAAAGTCTAACTGCTGTAGCAATGTTATAGACATAGTACTTCTGGAAAAGAGGAAGTGCAACTAAGTGTTTCTGGGGCATACAGAAAGAAGTGGTTCTAGAAGCTGAATTCCGAAGAACAAGTAGAAGAGGGGGAAAAGGTAATTTCGCACATGGAGAGGAGAAAAAGGTCATTCAGAAAATGAAATCAGCATGTGTAAAGACTCCAGATATAAAAGAGTTTAGGGGATTCTCAGCCCTTTGAGCAGAGTACAGGGTATATACAGAAGATTGAGCAGAAATGAGATGGTACATGAGACTCAAGAAGCTAAAGCATGAAAGACCTTGTAAGAGACCACTGGATTCTTGAGATTCTTGGTCACTACCATATATCAAGAACCTAGGACAGTGCTTGCCACTTTATAGATTCCAATTCTAAAATTAAATATGGGGGGCATGTAGACTTCTAATGATTATCCGTATCTCTTCCTACAAAGAACTCCCTATAATGATATTTTGACAGGTGTTTTACCAACGACCATCACAACAGACTTGTCTCATTTATCAACCCCAACTTTTAGGAACCCCCAAGCTGTTTGTCATCAACTGCAAGACAGCACTACTATCAAGTGTCATCCCTTGTCTTCACCCCATGTTAACCTGGAGAACTGCCTGAATAAACTTCCCTATTGAGATGAAAAAAATACCAGTTCCTTTAAAGGCATTCCAAGGGGAAATCTGAACCTAAAGGTGTAGATACTTCAACTTACAAAACCACATCTAATTACTGAATATACTTCATGCCTTCAAACATTCATACCACTTTGTTCCCTCTCCCCAAAAATGTGTTCCTCTGCTTGCCTAAATAAGCATATGGGTTGAAGATATTCTGCCAACACTCACAGAACAGCTTTTAAAGTGGCCTTTCTGATTATTAAAGAGCCATTTAGTAAACCACAACCACGGTTTTTAAAGAAAACTTGGAAGTGGTGGCCTCCACTGAGAAATTTATGAAGTAGCCCCCAGACACACAGCACTATATTCCATTACTGAGGCATTTGTCACCAAATGTAGAATAAAATTGTCTTGATAAAATTGAGGAAAGGACTCACAGGGTGACCTTTCATCTGGAAGTGCTAAACTCTGTCTATCCTGATCCATCTGAATTAGGCCCAAAGTGAAGGAAAATAAGAATCTTCACTGAGTTTCTTCCTCCCATTAGCTTCTATTTTTCCCCCATGATGAATTTTATTTTATTTTTTATCTTTCAAGTTTTTATTTAAATTCATGTTAGTCAACAGTAGAATTTAGTGATTCTTCACTTAACATGTAATACCCAGTGCTCATCACAAGTGCCCTCCTTAATACCCATCACCTATTTAGTCCATCCCCCTGTCCACCTCCCCCCCCAGCAACACTGTTTTTTTCTATAGTTAAGTATCTTATAGTTTGTCTCCCTCTCTGTTTTTATCTTATTTTATTTTTCCCTTCCTTCCCCTATGTTCATCTGTTTTGTTTCTTAAATTCCAATTATGAGTGAAATCATATGGTATTTGTCTTTCTCTTTTTTAAAAAAAGATTTTATTTATTTATTTGTCAGAGGGAGAGAGAGCAGGAGCAGGGGGGAGAGGCAAAAGGAGAAGCAGGCTTCCTGCTGAGCAAGGAGCCCGATATGTAACTCAATCCCAGGACCCTGGGATCATGAATTGAGCTGAAGGCAGATGCTTAACCAACTGAGCCACCTCAGAGAGGTGTCCTCTCTGACTGACTTATTTTGCTTAGCACAATACACTCTAGCTCCATCCAGGTCACTGCAAATGGCAAGATTTCATTCCTTTTGATGGCTGAGTAATACATACATATATATATACATATATACACACACCACAATATAATATATATACCACATCTTCTTTATCCATTCATCACTCAATGGACATTTGGGCTCTTTGCATAATTTGGCTCCCATTAGCTTCTATAATCACAGGAGCCCTAATGTCTCCAGACCAAGGCAGCTTATGCCACCCTTTTGGTATCTGTTCTCTGGGAAAAGACTCACTAACTTGGCTACAAATAGCAAAGGCTTGCTTTAATCCATCGCTTCCTCTCCTGATGTATTATTTTTTAAGAAAATGCTTTGAAAATTTGCCCTCTGTTGTAGGCAATGAATTATCTATTCCAAAATTCACTTGGGAAATGAATACACTGATAAAATATATAGGCTACATGTTTAGTAAGTCCAGAAGTTTGCTGAAACTAATATGCCAGAGGCCTTTTTGTTTTATCATCTTCCCACGCTAAAATTTTCAAATTTAGATGGTAGAGAAATGCAACAAGGAAGCCCATGGAGTCATCAGTAGGATCAGCTATATCACCAATAACCACCTCTCTTTTAAACTAGCTCTAGGCCAGCCTTAACTTATACCAAGTTAGGGACATACCAGGTAGTACAAAATTTAGTCTCGATACAAGTGGATAATAAACAGAAAATAATGTTTAAGTTAGGGCACCAACTTGTTGCACACACTAATTGTGTGCTCTCTTAGATGGTCTCAGGTACAAGTTAGTGTAGATCACCTGGCAATGTGCAATCATCAGGGAGGACAATAAACGAGACCCCAGCCAAATGAAGTGGGAAACGCTCCATGAAAGTGGCATGGGCACTTAAAAGTGGAAGGGCAACCTTCAAAACTAAAGGAAAAGAAATGAAGCAAGAGAATTCATCAACTATATCACAGCAGTAACAATAATAGCTAACATTGTATGTCAGGCACTATGCATAGTGCCTTATATCCATCATTTTCCTTTATCCTCAAAACAACTCACGAAGTTGGATATTATTATCATTCACATTTTTCAGGTGAAGAAGCTGAGACTAGAAATGATAGGTAACGTGCCCCAAGTGACAGACCTAGTAAGTGCCGAATCTTTGGTTTACTAGTCCATCATCCAGCATCAACACAAGTAGGTCTTCTCCTACCGATGCTACTTGTCACAACGCTTCTGCGAACAAAGTCACACTTTTAATGCCAAATCTAAATTCGCTTTTCTACAGTAGGACGATAATTGAGGTTAACTCCCAAGTTCACAGGCAATCCTAAAACAAGCTTAAATATGATAAGGAGGAGGCAGGTTAAGTAGTCTTCTGAAGGCCAAATTTGCTTGTTTTTCTATCTGCTATTGCTAGTCTGTGGGACACCTAAAAATGTAAAGGGAACTCTTACCATCCTTTCAATCCCTTAACCTTTCTCAAATCGTTTCCTTCTCTATCTCAAAAAGTCGTGAGGATTAAGGTAAAATAAGTAAAGCGATTATTGGAGTTAGACTCAGAGAAATTAACTATGACCGATAAGTACCAGTGTATTGTAGGATTCGGAGCTGGATAGTTGGACACACTGGAGGCCCAAGTTGGGGAGTATCACCTTACTGGAAGTAGATCAACGATAAAAGGGGACAAAGGGCTCACTTAATGAGGAACGAAGAGCCCCAGGAGTCAACACTAGAAAGCATCTTTATTTACGGGGCAAATAAATGGAAAAGAAACGACTAATGAAATTTTAAAGAAGCTGTCATAGGTATATTACGCTAGAAGCAGGCATAAGAGTGGAACTTCCGCTACTTTTTAATTAACTACAGTTCATTAATCCCACCCCCACGGCCTGGAATCCGGACACTAAGAAAGGGGCCTTGGGAACCCCAAAACGACCGAAGAAACTCTAAGTGAGCTGTTCCGACAGGAGAAGAGGCCCACCGCCGCGCTAGACTGCAGCAACAAAGACACCACGGCGAGACAGCTCCAGGAACCTCACCAAGGAGCTAGGTTCGTCCGCGCAGTCAGGGACGGAGTTCACGCTCAGACTCCTCCGCCCGACCGGCTCTCACACCTCAGCCTCGCGGCTCTGCGGGCGCCAAGAGGAGAGCCATGCACAACCCGGCGCTGTCCACGGCGGTCCCAGCCAGCCGGCACCCACTCCTGGTCCCCTTTCAATTCCCACCCGGACCGGCAACCCGCCACCCCCACTCCAGTTCGCTGTCTGAGGCGAGTCTACGGAGTTCGTTAATTACCTGGAGCTACACCGCGCCGCCATTACACCGGAAGCACGTCACTTCCCCTTCCCGGCCCGGCAGTGCGAGGAAGGCGGTACGTGAAATACATAAAAACCTGACGCTAAATTCACTTTAAAACGTTATCTATTAATTTACTTTAAATGCCCTATCGTAATACCAAATTTAGAGCAGCTGGTTTGGCTTTAATTTTCTTTTTCCAAGACGGCGACAAAAGAGAAGTTAATTCAAACTACAAAGTCCAGCATCCGCCGCCTGTGAGGGCGGAAATGACGTGAACAATTGTAATTTTTTTTTAAGGCTGAGAAGGTCGCAAGGTACGACGGGAATTGTAGTTCTCGGTAGGCGCCGGAGACATACAGTCGGCTCGTGTGAAACCTGGGAGTGATGAGGCTCTGGCAAAATTTACTCTAAAGCTCGTTCTCGGCTGTTGGCAAAAAATAAACCTTTCTAGTCACTTTTCCGTGAAAATCTTAAGAAGAGCAGACACCTTTTTCAGACTCTTTTCAGTGGGGTTTTATAAAGAACCTGTATAAGCAAAACTGTTAGAAGCGTTAAGTGCCTATAAAGTTACAAGATTTCAAGCCTACGGGAATGGGACCACAGACAAAGTGAAGTAATGAGGAGAAGCTAATTTTGTAGAGAGGATGATGCCTCTGTTTGAGTGTAAGGTACCAGCTGGGAAGACATCCTGAGGATAAGGAGACTGGCTGGCCAATTTGGAAATAGCCGACTGTGCAGAGATCAGAGGTAATCAGTGGAATAGTTTTCTTTACTTTTCAATAGTAACAAAATCTAAAAGTTCAACTCCTTGTTACTGTTTTGGAAACTCTCTTTTCCTAAAGCAACTGTATCTTTATGTTCCCCAACCTTCTATACACCAGGCCTGGTTTCTCCAAACATTTCTCTATTAGAATTTTAGAGTACTCATGCTAATGACCCCCACCCCTTTTTTTTTTTTTTGAGGCAGAAGGGTATAGTGATTTCAGAAAAAGGCACTGGAGCAGGCCTACTTATGTTTAACTCTTTCTATTGATGTACTCCTGGATGATTTTTCTGGGGCAACACTGTGTGTCCATTTTCTGTTAGGTAGGGAAAAAAATTAGTACCTACTCCATAGAATACTTTTAAGAATGAATTAGCTGATACACTTGATGTATGTGACATAATTCCTACTACATAACAGTATTACCTATTCTTTTTCATAGTTAACATATTTGACCATAGTTAAAGTACATTTTGGTGTCTCTAAATATTTAAGTGACTAGATTTCGGTTGTACCAATACAGGGCACAGGAGAGGAGTCTGGTAAACATTTGTATCCATATCTGAAAAAAAAAAAAAGCACAATACCACCTCTACAATTATCAATAGAAATAGGAAAGTTAGAATTGAAGCTGGGGAGCTAAATGGAGCTGGAAAAGACTAGGTTTGTCGTTTGGAATTTGCTTCCTCCAGGAAGCAAACTGTGATACAGGGTTCGGAATGTAAAATGGTAAAAGGAAGAGGGAGGAAATTGGATGGGGCATGGGTAACCCCAGAGCAAAGGTGAAGAGTCCCACACTGGGATAAAATGGCTCGGCCCTTGTAACACAGTCCTGCCCAGTCACTGGCTAGACCCACCTCAAGGAAAATGTGGCCTCCATTCAAAACCTGAGATGTGCTTGGAAGTGTTAACAGTTGAAGTTTGTCACCTAACCACACTCCTAGCAAAGAGCCTTTTCTTGAAAAGGTATCTGAGTAGATTATCTCTTCGTCTGTCACAGTCTACCCCTTGCACTATTTAGATCCACTCTGTATATACATTCAGGGAGTAATTCCTATGGGGTTCCAGTGGCCTCTCTTCCTGAAGAGAAACTTACAAAAGTTAGTGGAACAAACTACAGTACCCATCTTTGCAGTTGGTCTTGGGCCACAACTGAACCTTTCTCTCCCCCTACTCATTCTAAATTCCTCTCCCTCTCAGCTACCACTTCTGCTGGTCTCAGTGGTTAACCTGGTGGTGTGAAAACCCTAGTTACTGAGACACTTGAGTTCCTAGTAATAATTGTCTTCTCATGCAGGTGTTGCTGCACTTGCCCATTTATAGTCACTATTGGGCAAGGTACCACAAAGAGATGCCCAAGTCATCACCTGAGTGCCACACATTTTCTTACCTGTTCCTGTTATGTAACATCAAGCCTACATTCTCCTGCTGATCAGAGTTAGCTTCTCCTACCAAGGTGTTGAGTCCTCTTTTTGCCTACTTGTACCTGAACTCAAGAAGTCTAAAGTGCCCATGCAGCTGATGAAGCTTAGTTCAGTGGGACTCTTGCTGTGTCCTTTAACATGAATATAACACCTTTGGGGACTAGGACCTCTAATTCCACAAAACTCAGAATTGCAGGAATGGGTCACTGGAAATGATGGTAAATGGGGCTAATCCTGTTTTAATCCCTTGTCTTGTGGACCCATGTATTGTTCCTAATGGGGACTCTAGCCCATATCAAAATCTCCTGCATCCTGGGCAACTCTTCCTTGTAGAGTATTGTCTCCCATTGGGTGCTTGAACTTTACCCTCAGCAGGCCATACTAGTGCTCTATTAGGCTTCCAACTTCTGGGAAATGCAGCATATGATATAACTAGTGGAACCCATGGTCACAGGCACCCTCCTACACTACCTTTACTGTTAAGTGTTATCTGGTTGGATGCTATATTGTATTGTATTCCACATCTGTGAATCAGGCATTGTATAAGTTCCTGAATAGTGGTGCTAGATGAAGATTGGTGGGTATGAAGTGCAAACACATACCCAATATAGGTAGTCTGTTCCCATGGGATGGATCTGCAGCCCCTTCCAGGATGAAAGGTTCCAGTGTAGTCAACTTGCCACGGAATGGCTACTTGATCTCCTAAAGGAGTGATGACATTAGAAGCCCAACATTGCTCTCTTTTGCTGGCAGGTTGAACTTGCAAATGAGACAGTAGGTAGGTCAGCTATGGTAAATTGGCTTCATATTCATGGACCCCATGCATGGACTCCATTTTTGTCACCATGACCATTTCACTCAAGTGTCCATGTGCCAGCCCTGGAGTAGCCACGAACAAAGGCTAACATCAACTAGCTGCGTAATTTTGTTTACTTGGTCGTTTAGTGCCTCTTCTATAATATATGCTTTCTTGTGGACATTGATTGTGTTCAAAAGATCTTCACACTTTTTACCCACAACAATATGCATATCCATATACCTCTAACCCTTTAAGATCTCCTTGTCTGCAATTTTTAAAATCTCTTTCTTTCAGACCCCTGACCAGCCAGCCAAGCTTTTTGCCATTTCCTGTTAGTCTGTTTATACTCTGACAATTAGGCCTCTTTCCTTCCCATACAAAGTGGATGACTAGGCGCACCCCCTGAAGCTCTACCCCATAGGAAGATTGTCACTCTCCTGTCTTCAGGGCTATTCTAGAGTGAGGCTATACTGTAGCTGCTGTCCAGTTTCAGGTTTCATCCACATACTTAGCCAGTTCATCTGTAAACTAAGCTCAGCCATTTTTTTCTTTCTTCAGCTTGTTGTTGAAGACACCACCCCTATCCCATATGGCCATCAGTGCAAGCTGAGAGGGGTGTGGATGCAACTGAAGGGTGACATCAAGGTCTGGACTGTCTGTTCATGTGGATTGTTTGTACCTTCTCATCTTCTTAGTGCTTCATCCCAAATATAATACTTTCATCTTATGATGAATTATGACTGGGCCCTCCAGAATTTATGACCTTATGTGTTCAACAAGACATATTTCATTTTGTATCGTTTAGTGTCCCATGGTCAAACATTCCCTTTTTTTTCCAGTAGCGTGCCAAGACCTAATTTTTAAAAGGTGTGGAACCTTGCTTCAGAAATCCAGGTGCCTGAACTGTGATTCTCCCACTAAGATTTCCGTAAACTCAATACTGCGTCTTTTTCTAAAAGTGACAACTCTTAACACCCTAGAATGTGCCAGATCCTACACCACAAGTGTCGAGGCCGCTCACGCCACCACTCAGACCTGTTGTCAAGCTCTTTTGCCAGCTTGTAAAGCTGGCAGCTTTTTGTGTCACCTGGAATGAGGGCCCCCAAAATATTCCTAGATGTGTAGTATGTTGATTAACAGAACTCAAAGCAGCCTTGTAGGCACTGTGCTTTCTTCTTTCTTGTAGGGGATGCAAGAGTCAGCAATTTGTCTTTTACTGAGAAGGGGATGTTCTAGCACTCCTCAGAACACTGGGCATTTAAACCCTTTAATGAAGGGACAGATCCCTGACCACTTCATAAGGTTAATTTCCTACTTTCCGGGGCACAAACCTCCAGCATGCTAGCCACCTCTTGCTCAGCCTGTTTAATCAGCATGATGTCATTGATATAATGGATCATTATGATACTCTACAGGATTTTCAGATGATCCACATCTCTTTGGACTATATTATGAGAGAGACAGGAGAGTTAACATAGCCCTGGGGCTAAAGTGTCAATGCATGTTGTTGCCTGCTTATTTCATTTGTATATTAATATTTCTAATTATATTTATTGATTGGGATATATTGGAGAATGGATTGGGAATCCATTTTCTAAATCAGTGGCTGTGTACCTAAGGCCATGTTATCCTGCTTTAATAATGATACTTTGCTTGGCATGGCAGCTACAGTTGGGGCTGCTACTTTGTTGAACTTACAGTAGTCAACAATCATTCTGCTAATTTATCTGGTTTCTACAGGCCAGAGTATCAAATTAAATGAAGGTGTGATGGGAACTACTGTTCCTGCATCCTTTATGTCCTTAAGTGTATTATTAATCTCCACCATCCTCTGGCATTGTGATATTGTTTTAGATATACTCTCTTGGCCAGGGGAGGCAT